TAATTGACCAACAAATAGAAGATTATAACTAAGTTTTGAAACCAAGAGAGCATTTGGTAAAGTCAATGATTTTGTAGAAATATTACCAATGTGACTAACATTCAAAGGGGAGTTATCAACAAAATAAATACAAGGAAAGGAATTATTTGGTGACATTAAAGAGAAATGAGTAATAGTTGAAGATATGTGATTAAAACAAGTATAATCAAAATGCCAAGTTTCAGTGCCTAGAGCAACAGATAAGATAGTAGGAACGCTAAAAAGATTTAATATAACCTATTTTAATATAACCTATTTTAGAGATTCAAGGTTGACACTAGATTGATTTATCACTTCTTTGGCAACCATAGCAGTAGCAGGATGACTCATAGTGCTTTTAAAACTCGTCATAGAATTAGTATAACTAACAATATTGAAAAAAAGTCTTCAAAAAATATGAATAAATAGATGCCAAGATTGAAATAACAACTTAATAAAATACCTTAGAAAATAGTATGAGAATTGAGAATAAGCAATCCAATATGTAGGAAAAGAGATCTCAACGATAAAGTTTTGGACTTAGAGTGGATTTGAAAATCTAACTTAAAAACAAACCAATGACGATAAAAAGAGAAGAACCAGGAGTTTATAACTTTTTTTTTTTTTAGATGGGACGAGCTTATAACTTTGATACCACGTTAGAAATTGAAAAGAGAGAGAAATATTTGAGGAAATGTTTATTGTTTTCTTGTTTTCATTGTATATACAAACGACTTATGTATAGATCTATGCAATAGAATATTTCTATATGCAAAACCAATTAACTTAAATACATACAATCAATTATAATATAAACATATTAATATAGTGTGAATGCTAATATTCTAATATCATCAATATCCAGTTCTAAGGAGGAAAATTACCTTGGGTTGATTTTAGAATGGCAAAAGATCTCTTCTAACTTGCGTTTCCTTCACAAACGTGAGGAAATTCTTACTTTTCTGTTTAATTAAAAGTTTCTTACAACTTAGTCTCTAGGCTTCTCACTCCATATTAATTAGACCCCAATAATTTATCTTGTCACATATACATCCCTAAAGTACTTAAATGAAACATTTAGTAAATTACAAAAATCCTTAGGTTTAGCACCTGATCTTAAATATAAAGTATAATACATTTATTGCTTCACCTCAACTGCAAGACATGTTGATATTGATATGATTCTTGTCAATGTCCTTTCTACCTCGATGTTTTCAAGCTTGTTTGATATTATGCATAGTTACTATGCTTATTATGGTTGGATGATTAATATACTTATGAATATTTGAGATTATACCTATTTCGATTATTTTTATAATTTTTTTGGATACATTTGATATGTGTTACAAGTTCGAATTTAATATCTTTAATTTAAAATATTAAGTTTTTAACCAATTGAACCATCTTAACTTTATTCTATTTTGCTTCTGTTATTAGTTGGAATCTCATAAACCTAACAACTCTTTAGGTTAAGATTAACAAGCTCTCAAAAATTTAAATTTAAGTTATTAATAATGATTGGTCTCCATATTTATATACCACTCATATTTACCCTTCTATCTTAATATGGGATTTAGAGTGTCACAAATATTATTTTTTAATCAGCCACATCACAATTATTATGAGATTAGGTCCTTAAGTACATCAGTCAATTAATCTTTCGTTGATTCGACATGTTTATGTATGGTATTATCTTAAACATGTATGGTATCATCTTTACATGGTAGCTTGCTTCGGCTTAATAAATTATTGTTGATTTTTATGCCTTCATAATTTATCTTCCATAAGCAGTATCTAATTAGTGACACTACTGCAAGAATGTAATATTCAGACCGACCAATCGGTCCGTATATATCCCAAATCGGTCTGAACATATATATCCGGACCGATATTAGTCCTTATAGTTGATCTGAAAAAACCTGGTACGAATAAGTATAATATACAGACCGATGTATAATCGGTCCGTATATATATACTATACGGACCGAAATCGGTCCGTATATTTCAGTAAGAAATATAAAACCTGCAACTATATCCAGACCGGTTTCGGTCCGAACATATTGGACTTGCATGTAACTTTTGAAAGTTCAGCCTCCCAAGAACGCCATTCTCAAACTATATCCAGACCGGTTTCGGTCCGCAAATATTGGAC